GTGTGTGTGTGTGTGTGTGTGTGTGTGTGTGTGTGTGTGTGTGTGTGTGTGGAATAGGTGGTAGACAGATTCCTGAAGCACATTGGAAAGGCAACACAGCCAAAACCGTGAGATTAAGATCCGGTGAAGACACTACCTCAAAATGAGTAAGGTGGACAGCAACAGAAGAAGGCATCCAAAGTCTTCTTGGCTTCCACCTCCATATACATCCCTCTGTCTCTGTCTTTCTGTCTGTCTCTCTCGCACCAGAGCACACACAGCACGCACACCCCCACCCCACCCCTCACACACACACATAGTCCAGAAACTTGTTTTCTAAGAGTAATGCAATCTGCACGCTCAGCTACTGCCATGTCAGGACTGCACGAACAGAGAAAGAAAGCACTGACAGAATTCAAGCATGTGCAGTCTTGGGAATTGTCACACTGGAGGCAATTTGGAGGGCGCAAAAAAAGGAGCTTCTGGGAGACTGATGAAAGAATTTAACTTATATGATGATCAAGTATAATTTAACAAACCCTAATAAAAATGTAACAAAAAGGGCTAGCAGATCCTTTCCTTAAACTGAAATTCTAGCTTGAACACCAAATTATTTTTAACCTACTGTGACACTAGAGATCTTTAGGAATGGAACCCACATATTTTTTCAAAGATATAGTGAAATCTTGACTGATAGATAATGCTAGAAAGTCTCCCAAAGGCCCTAAAGATGTAAGGAGTGACTTGGATCCATGGCACAGAGAAATTTATCTTTCAAAAATATATCATATCAAGAATGTGCTGAGAGTAAAAGGTCCATTTTAGAAAAGTCATTTCTATCATAAAAAATAAGATAAAATAAAGACAAATTTAGGTAAATCCCATTAGAACTGCCAAAAGTAGGCTCTCTGGTATACCAGCCAGGGCTACCAGGGCTGTCTACTGTAAATTACAAAAGCAGTTTTTGCATATATTCTAGCATTTAAAGAGAAGTTTCTTTTCTTAGTTGAATGAATCCAATAGTGAAAGATATCCTTTCCATAGCAAGTGAACCACACACAAAAACCTTGTCACCAAATTAAAAAGCAATGAAATTTATCTAAAAACAATCATCTAACTGGGATGCTCCGCTGCATTTTTAAAAACGCCTGACATGTTCTAACTTCCCCAGGTGACGGTGGGTGGAGCCACGAGACACACCTCTTAATGTAGGTGGCAGGCCTGCCCTCCAGTCAAAGGATTTTGAGCCTGCCTTTGCAGTGAGTAATGGCATTAGGAACTCCAGGTCTACGCTGAGCTAAATCTTAAACGCACTGGCACACACCTGATAGGCAAGCCTGAAGGTCTCATCACATATTTCTATGGAAATAAGTTATGATTTTAAACAACGCCAACCTTTTGAAGAGCATTCTAAGGAGAAACTTAGAAGTGTTATGGTTCTAAGAATATTCATTTAGCCTTGTAAATAGTCTTGAAAGTAGAAATTCATGCCAGATGGCAAGGTCACAGTTAAGCTCCATTACTAAAAAGAGAACAGTTTAGACCAAACAAATAACAAAGTTTTCTAAGAGGAAAATGAGAATTAACTAAATAATAGTTTATGTTGAACAGGTAAACTAGGTGATGCTTGCAATTACTATAATTTGATATTAGAAAGTTTGTGGATATAACAAGGGGTCTAACCTATAAACAAGAACGTTCACAGTTGTTTTTTTTTATTGTAATGGAAAGCTTAAAAATTAAAATTGAAACAGTATATTTGATTCCAAAGATAAATGATAATTATTGGTAGTAGTTATACAATGAGGTGTACAGATTACTATAATTATCCTTTTTATCAAGAATAAGTAATTTTTCCAAACAAATGGTATTTTTTAAATGTATCAACAAGGCATTTGTCCCTTATTCTATGGTCAATGTGTGTTAATTACGATGCCCTGCTTATGTTCTAAAGCTAGGCCTGCTGAACACAGGGCTGTCCGATGGAAGTGTTGCCGTGGAAATGGTCTATGTCTACATCCTGGACTGCCGGAAACTTAAACTGGAAAGAGCCGTAACTGAGGACTTGACATTTTAATTTTATTTAAAAATAGCCATATGGGGTAGAGAGATGGCTCAGTGGTTAAGAGCACCAGTTGTTCTTCCAGAGGATCTGAGCTCAATCCCGGCAACCACATGATGGCTCATGACCCCGATAATGGGATCTGATGCCCTCTTCTGTCATGCAGATATACAAAAAGCAAAATACTCTTACACATAAATAAAAACTTTAAAAATAAATACAATAAAACAAAATAGCCGCATATATCTGGTGGTTACCACTTTAAAACATACAGGTTAGAGGGTCAAAACTAGATCTGTTAAAAAAGGTTTCACTCTTATCTGCTTGTTCATTTCTACAAGCATATATTCATAAATGTTTATAAGAACGCTATACTGAAGTTGTTTTGTCCTATGGTGTTATTGTCATTAAAACAAAGAGCCAGTGAATACCAATGATCACACCCAGACAGCCCCAAGTGAAATGCTGCAGAGACTGTTATTAGTGTTTGCGGTATGTCGCTACCACCACACTGGCTAAGGAGGTAGCTTGGAGGCCTGTGCCAATCTGTCCAATGCTCACTTTAGAATGACTAAAATTCGGACTGTGAAATATCCATTCCTGAAAAGTTTTCCCATTATCTATCATAACACAGAATACCAGTTATTACATAGCTTTCAGCTCCATTGGTTAAACACTGCGAAAGCTTGTCAAGCCATTTTACCTGACAGATGTATTTGTTCTTCCATTTGCTCAGCACACACTGACTGTTTTGCATCAGTTCCTGAAGGACAACAGAAAGAGAGAGTGCAGTGGCTACACACTTTGTCATTATCAGTTAAAGCGCGTCTGATTTGCAAGAAAAAAAAAAAAAGCAATCAACAAGCCACACAAAGACACAAGTGTGTGGGAAGCTCTCTCTAGACAAAAGTGAAGCCATCATCACCCCAAGAGCTGGTCCTTTTTGAAAATTAAATGTGTTGAAAGATGTTTTAAAACAGATTTGTTTGTTCCCATTTTTAAAACCTTTTGAAAGATACCTCCAACTCTTTCAGTGAGTCTCGAAGTTTTTCTGGGCGTCTGTTTTTGAGTGTCCAAGGATAATCTCGTGCTGGCAAATAAAACGTGTACAGCAGTTAGTTAAACATGATTTAAATAAGGAACCTCTGCTTAGCAGTGTGCCTTGGAGGATTAAAATAAGACACCCCATAATTGAGAGGAAATGGACTTTGGCTCTATCACTAAATAGCAGTCTTTTAAAGGGCTTTGTTACAGAAACAGGCTTTTTAGCACGAACTAATCTCCCTGATTATAACTCTGTGATGACAACCAACAAGACTCCGAGAACTCTTGGAAAGTTTTGGTAGGCCAAGGGATCTAGCAGTATCTAATAGTAAATGACCTGATCTTTATGATTTAAGTAACTTTTTTGTGAAAATAGTCAAGGTTCAACCCAAAAGGAATTCCAGCTTCTGCGAGTGGCCAACCCAGACCTGAAACTTCCCAAGAATAAGTTAAATGTGTTGAGAAAAAAAAAACAAAATATAAAAATAATATGTAGAAAATTAACTTAAATATGGTCAAAGCACTATATATGTCAATTCTAGAAGAAGAAAAAAAGGGGGAGGTGGAATCCAAGTTTTAACAAATGGGTATTAGAGATGCTCTTTGAAATAATGCCCTCAAACATAAACATTAACCCTGCTACAAACCCTTTAATATATAATGGTGTCCTGCAATGGTGACACAAAGCTTGTGGGAGGAGCCAACCAACACCTGACTTGCCTTAAGGCCCACTCCATGAGATGGAATCCATTCCTGACAGTGCTTGGATGACCAAGAACCCGAGGCCAGATATCCCAGGTACCTAGGAGACTACTAAATACTGTTGTTCTTAAATAAATAACGTGCTCCTAAGGACATTCTGCTATACTCATTAATCAGTGTCTTGTCCAGCCATTATCAGGGAAGTATCCTCCTGCAACAAACAGGAACAGATGCTGAAACCCACAGCCAGACACTATGTAGAGAGTGAGAGACCTTGGAACACTCTGCCCTAAACAGGATGTCTCCATTAAATCCCTTCTCAGGGCTCAGGGAACCCAGGAAAAGAGAGGGTGGAAAAAGTCTAAGAGCCAGAGGGGATAGAGGACACCAAGAAATCAGGGTCCTCTAAATTAACATGGTCAAAGCTCATATGCACTCACAGAGGGTACGGCTGGACGCACAGGGCCTTGCATCGGTCTACAGCAGGTCCTTTAAGTATCTATTATGGCTTCTAGTTTAGTGTTTTTTTATGAGATGCCTGAGTGTGTGAATGCACCGGTCTCTGATTCTTGTGCCTTCTCTTGGGCTCTTTTCCTTCTGTTCTGTATATGTTAGCTTTCATTTTATCTGACTACATATCATTTTATTGTGTTTTATTTTATTATTATCCCTTAGAAGAGTACTTTTTTTGAATAAGGGACAGAAAGAGAATGGGTCCAGTTAGGAGAGAGATGGAGAAGAACTAGAAGGGGCAAAGGGAGGGGAAACCATAATCAGGATATATATGTGGAAAAAAAAAACTATTTTCAATAAAGGGAAAAAAATAAGAAAATTCTAAAATCTATGAAATTCAAATAGCAATATACCTTTAATTTATTGTAAATAACTTCAATTGAAAGGTTATTTAGAAGTAAAAAGTTGTTCTAAAATTGGGGCAGGGTCTAACTCAACATTAAGGCACTTGCCTAGTATGTGCGATGCCCTGGGTTTCATCTCCAGCACCCACCACACACACATGAATAATATTAATAACATGTTAAGCTCATAGTGAATTAGTCCTTATATTCTCATATTGAATAATTCTAAAAAGGAAGAGAGTGAGAGAGCTTGGAATATCACCCCAGATGGGTGTCTCCATTGAATCCCACATAATATGACATATATGAGTGTGGATGTCATGTGTGCACACACAAATAATAGATAGCACATACAGATATTTAAATTTGAAAGCAGAAATTGCTATGTATCTTATTTCAGCAAATTAATTTGGCTCTATAAACATAATTTTGATGTGTAGAACATATGTACAAATTTTAAGATTTGTGTTGGAGATACTAATGCAGTATTCTAAAAATTAAATGTCAGTTCAATCTAAGATAAGGAAAAAAGAAAGGCTTTTCAGATCTAGCTATATTCCAAATAAAACTTTAAATTACATTAGCTTTAATTCATGGAAACCTTATCATGTTGTAGTTACATTATATACATACAACATACTTATATCTTTGAAACTAAAAACAACTAAATAAAATGCTGATATAACAAATCTCACTTTATTAAAATAAGGATAATAGGGCCAGCCAGATGGCCCAGAGGGTGCAAGCCCCCACTGAAAAGTCTGACAGCCTGAGTTCAGTTCTTGGGACCAGCATGGTAGAAGGAGGTAACTAACTCTCCTCTGCTTTCCAGACACATACTGCAGTACACACAAGCATCCATGGGTTCGCACATACACACACAATAATAAAAGAAAATGTCAGAATCAGGAAAATGTTAACAATTTAGGAAAAATGTGAATAATTCAATGTCACAGATTTTAAGCATGAATTGTAATCATTATTTCACACAAAATAAGGAGGCATGTATAAAAATTTTACTATAGAACTTGCATGATTGATATATCAAGTCATCATTTTGTACACCTTGAAGATTTATATTTTATTAGCCTATTAAGTATTTTAAATAAAAATAGTTTATTTAAAATATGAAATGACAGTACACTTAAATTTATGTTCACATAAAATTACCAAAATTGTAACCAGCAAAGATTTTAATGATTAACATTAGAAAAGCTTAACATATAATAATTACTGTTAATGATTTTATATATATAAACAATAGGGATTATTAACTATAAGAAATATGGACAATATAGCATTTATAATTTATCCAGAAAACAGTTTATTTGTAACATAACTCTATCTAATAAATATATATGTATATATATAAAATATAAACTTACATTCTGCCAGCCTTTGTTTTTCTTCTAAGTTACCATGCTCTGTTGCTGATACTGTGACAAAGGAAAGATGAAAAGAAGAGAAGTGAGACTTATTTTTATTAAGGTACCTTGTATTTTTAATGGGTACACATACAAAAGATTGCTGCAGACGCTGAAATTAATATAAGATGTTAAGCTTTAAAAAAGACGGTTGAGAGAGAATGTCACCAGTATATTTGCATGTCATAGAAGCCATTTTTTAATGTGCAGTGAAAAGGCTTAGAAACACAACAGGTGGGCTGGTATTCTGAGCTTCCAATCTCGTCAGACAGGAAAGGGAGAGAGGCTGCTGTATCTGCCATCTGAGCCATGAAGTCAGCCTGTTCATGGCCATGCTAAGCACACAGGGTGCTCACACTGCCTCCACTTCACCCGAGAACAGAGCAGGAAGTAACTCCAGCTAGGGAGACCTTTTGGCCCATCATAAAACTTCTGGGATTAACAGGATTAATCAGATAAAGAAAATTGATCATTCACTCAGAAATGTCTATTTCAGATATCTGGTGTGGATCCGGGAGGCCACCATCACGGGGACCAATGCATTAACAATGCCCTCTGCTGGGACACCAATAAATACTTGGGAATAGACTGTCCTGTTATCAGCCTGATCGGCAACAAAATGAAAATTTTCACGTTCTTCTACAGCATCTTCTCAGTGTTGCTTTATTTTTGATTGATCAGATAAATATCAACCTTAGCATTTTTCTCTTTAAAAAAAAACCTCAAGTGACTACTCTTAAAAGTTTAGAATTTATCTAACGCTCATAAACACAGAGTTTTCAATATTGCTACTCCATTTCTTGGAATACTTCATTTATAAAACCAGTTAAATAGAATAGGTAAGTACATTACCTGGTGGGTCTTTCTTGTCATAGTACTGGTACACGCCGATGTCTCTATCTATAGAAAGAAAGAAAGAACATTAAATTATGGTAAAAGTTCTGGAGAGTAAGAAGCCAAATCATTCTATATCAGAGGGGATTGTGGGGAGGGGAGCAGAAACAGTCTCCTTATGTTACTAGAAATAAAATAGCTCAAAAGCATCTGGACATGGGTTCATCTATTCTAGGGATATGCAGAAACTGGAAAGTTTATCGATCTAATGAGAAAATCAGAATGGCATAAGGAAACATACAGAACTAGAATGGCATGGGGGAAAGATTAGGGAAAAAAAAAAACTGAAATCAAGGAAGACCAAGTTTTCTCTTTCACACTTCCTCTGATATTTTTCACAGGGCGCTACCAAAAGGAACTGCCACTAAGCAATGCCAAATGAAGTCAGTGGATGGAAGAAAATGCCCTAGCTGTTGGATTCCGAGCTGTGGCTTGCTTTTCTCCAATTTAGCTCAGAAGTCTAGTTCCCATCCTATAGCATTTGGGAGGAAATCTGCAAGAAGAAAGGGGGGATTACCAGGAGCTGTGGATAAATTATTATCTGAAACTTGTTTAGAGTCAAAAGGCTTCCAAACCTATTCAAATTCAGACGCTCTGCTGGGCTAGGTAAGAGACAAAGTGAGACTCCACAGATGTTGAGATTGGTTTAACCAAGGGATTCTGTCCTTGCAATTTAAACAAGAGAGTAGAATAATTTTTCCTATGTCTATGAATACTGAGCTATCTCTTTTATTGAAGTAACACTTGTTTTCTTCCATGCAAAAACAATTCTCCGTGACTAACATAAGGAGGCTACAACTGTCTCTCGTGAAGTGAAGCAGTACAGGCTGCCCCCTAGTGACTGACTGCCTCCAAATGTATCAAACTGAATGACAAAACCAAAAGAAAAACAAGTAAAACTGCTGTAATTAAGTCTGCAAATAAACAACAACCAGTCATGTGTACTTGATATGCTCTGTACTCATATACGAAATGCTCACATACTAAAGCTGTATTTTATTAACGTGAAATATGAAGACATGATCTCAATAAATGCAATTGGATGTCTGTCCGTTAGATGGAAGATATTAGAGACTGGTTGGGAGACTGTGGCCCCTTGAGTACTTACAATATTTTTGCTCAGCTGAGTAGTGATTTCACGGATGTGCTCACTTTTTGATAGTTCACAGCATATTCTTACAATCTGTACACTCTTCAGTACATATGTTACACTTCAATTTTAAAAGTTTCTTGTTATTTAAAGCTATGAGCTAAGAACTGCAGGCATTACATACGCACACAATATCTATTAAAACATCCCAGTTTATAAGTATAATATGTGTCCACACGTCAATATATTTACACCTCTAGAACAGAACAAGAAGACTGTAAGGGACCCTGAACTCCATGCACAAATCTGGCTAAGTGGGATGGAACATAAGCAGGACAAGGGTGTCCACAGGAGACCTGTCCAAGAAGCACCAGTGCCGGGTGAAGATGTCCATGAGGTAATCAGAGGATGTAGTGTGTCACGGCCTCTGCAAGTACAAAGAGCTCACACTGGGCATGATGGCCTGATAGATTAGAAAGCAGACTAGATGAGCAAGACACGGGGACCATCTAACTTGTGCTAGGACCACATGGAGTAAGAAGGTTATCCACAGAGAGGACAGTGGACACAGAAATGCCAGGCTGATATCTAGGAGGGAATGACTGGTTAACTAAAGAAGCAATGAGATTCCTTCTGTCCAAGAAAAAAACATGGATATGGAAAGGAAGAAAATTATTTTCTGAGATAATGTTTTTTACTTCTAACTTTTTTCTTTCTTGTGATATATTCCCAAATTTTGAGAGATCAGTTTAGCATCATTTTTCTTAATCCTCTGTATTTGGTTTCTTGCCTCATGGATTAAGCTTTTCCCTCAGGTTTGTGTATTTTCCTTTTCCTTCCTAAATAATCTTTGTTTCTCCAGAAATCCTTTTGCCTATTTTCTTCTTATAACTTGCCTTCTTTCCTGTAGAAAATACAAGTCTGATGATTCATGGGCTCTCTCACAAGTGAGGCTCTAGAAATCTCCTGAAGTCTTCCATAGCCAAATAGGGCTTCACTGACCAGCAAGGGCCAGAGCATCTCACCAAAGACCTTTAAAACATCAGTGTATACGTTTTCTCTTTCGGCTCATGCATTTACCCCACAAAAGAATTCTATTTTCAAGCTCCTTCTCTCTTGGCAAATATACAAAGGTAAGAAGAGATCGCCAGAAGCAAGCGGGATTAAGAGGACCTCATCCATCAGCATGCCAGCTTCAGTTTCCTCCTTTTTCAGTTGAGCATGTCTTCTTCCAGTGGCTCTGGTGTCCTGGAGTTAGAGCCTCCAGTATTAAATATTTCCACGTCATGAAGGTGTCTCGTTACCTCACCCAGACGCACATCCCCTCTGTTGTCACCCTGGTGCCACACCCTCACCTTCTGCAGCACATGTTCCTCAGGATTCTATACCTTTCCAAAGTTTTGAGATATAAATGAGCTTCACTGGAATTCTCTTCTCTAGGCAAGTGATACGCACATTTTTAGCTCTGCTAATTCCTTCATGTCTTCTATTTTCCAAAAATTGTCCAATTGCAGGTATGTATCTTTTTCCTAATCTCAGGTTTTGTATCTTGATGTATCTTTATTTTAATTCAGTTAATCTTATTTTAAAAGAGTTTTGGGAGGAAGCAAATATGTATTAAATCTTGAACTAGAAATTCCATCTCTATATACTTTAGGAAAAAAATAAATAAAACATGATATTCATCTGTTATTGTATATTCAATATTAAGAAACAGTACTTTATAAGGTAAAATATTTCTTAGTAAACATATAAAAGTTATGTAAGTAAAAATGTATTTCCAAATAAAAAATTAACCTGCATAATTAAGGGAAAAAACTTTTTGTAAGTTGTTTTCTAATGAAATATATTTTAACCTAAAACATTAATAAACATTGTTAAAAACATTATTTCCATTCAAGAAATATAAAACACAAAGAACATAAGTAATTGTACATCTCAAGTACATGTTTGAAATGTTTTTAATATCAAACAGAAATTTTTTATGATCTAGTCTGCAAAAGCCTATGATATACAGCATTTGAACAAACTCGATAAAAATACTAAACATGTGCATCTTTAGAAGGAAGAGCTATTAGACTACTAAAATGTATTTTATAACTCAAGCCAAAAAATAAGATAATAAGAGTATTTAAAAGTAATTTTTTCATCACCAACATTTTCATTAAGGATGAAAAAATAAAAGAGAGAGAGACTGCAACTCTATCCGGGAAATCCAGGCCCTAACTTTGTCAGTACTTGTGATAAGAGCATAACAGATTGAAGAGCCCTGACTGACCCAGAGCTCACTTACCTGCAATGTGTAAGGTGCTTTTCAGAGACCACAGGTGTAGTTCAGTCAAGCAGAAAGACATCTGACAGCAAAAGAATCGCTTTCCTGTTCAAAGTAATTAGGGGGGGAAAAAAGGTACAAATTAATTATTTTCTATCATCAATTACAATCTAAACCCCTAAAACAAACTAATATTTGAGATGTGGTCCATTAGATTAAACACATTTTTATGTATTTGGTTAACCATCCAGAAATAAACTCTAGAAAAAGAAAAATATACTTCTTTTCCTAAATTTACTATGTCATCACGCTGAGAAATGTGGTAAGGAGACTATCTATATTTGGGTGCTCAATAACATATGCTTGGTTACAGCTCTAAGTATGCTTAGAATTATTTAGTATATGAACATCTTCTAAGTCATAATTTTTAGAAAAAGTGGGTCTGCTTGGTGGTTATTAAATACAAGCACATTTTGTGATACATTTTAATATGTAAACACTTATTTTAAATTACCCTACATATAAACAAGCTACAAAGGAATGTGGAAGGTAAACGGCATATAGTTACTGTCATGAGGTGAGTTACTTAAAAATAAACTATATAAAAGTACACCAGTACTCCTATAGTGTATTGTTAATCTGTACATCATGATAGGCAACCTAAGCATATTTTTTAAGTCAAGATAGTTAAAACGTACATTCTAGATTTTCTCCTAGTTTAATAGCAGGGCCTTGTAACATACACTATTGATACTTTAAAAAAATCAAATAGGGCCTCATCAGTTTGAACTGATTAGGAGAAAGCCAGTGAGACTCTGGAAAAAGTTCACATTTTACAAGTATTTAAAATAAAATTTATATAACTTATAAATGTTTGCTTACAAATTTATATAGCATACTAGATATATACAGTGTTATATATTAGAAGCATATATATAATGATTTAATCTAAGCACATTATAGAAACTAGAAAAGAAATGTTCTCTTTAATAAACTTCTGGAAAACAAAACAAGTGTAAATAGAATTTTAAGACAACTTTTAACAGAGGAAAAGACCCTTCAGCTTCTATAACATTAGGAGTGGATAAAATATTTCCCACGTTATTCATATGGGTAATAATCCGAAGCAATTTTTAGACATAATAGAAATGCCCCTTGCCCTCACTTCACCTTCACAGAACCAGGATAGAATTACAGCCATCAAGAAACACATGTTCTGCTAAAGAGACACGATGTTCTGTGGACTGAGGAAGAAAGAATGAAAAATGTGGTAACTTAAAAGAGGAACCCAATTCCGCCTGAAGAGCAGAGCTGTGAGAAAGCCTTAAGAAGTTGTGAAATGTCCCGGTCTTCAGAGAAGACCTTAGTAGTTTGATGATGGTGGAGATGGTGGTGGTGGACAACACTAAACATCTGTTCTAAACACTTGTGTCTTTACCCATTTTGTCCTCCTAGTTATTTGTGGAGATACTAGTACTACACTGTGGAACTGAGGCCAAATCTGCTGGTTAAGGCAAGCTTGGGATCCGTTCACGCTAGCTCCAGAGGCAATGCTAGGCACCCCAGTATGCTGCCATAGTACTGGTGTGTACAGAAGTACAGGAGTGATTAAAAGGATGGATGCTCTAAAAGACAGTGGTAGATACCAATAGAAAGGTTGCCAATGACAGATAAAGTTGAAATAAGTAGGAAAGAGAACTAGGAAGGTGGCTCAGTTGGTAGGTAAGAGTCCTTGGGCTGCAGGCATGAGCACTTAAGTGTGAATCTCCAGCACCCACACACGCACATACAAGCAAGTACAGTAGTACATGCCTGTATTCCCAGCATGGGAGGATGGAGGTAGACAGATCCCAAGAGCCCATTGGCTAGCGAGGCTAGCCAACCGGTGAGCTTCCATTTCCCTGATAACCCCTGTCCCAGGGCAGAGAAGTACAGAGGAGTACTCTTGGAGTCTTTCTTGGGCTTATGCATGGGAATGTAAAGGCCCATACACCTACACACTCACATGCATGCACCATACACAGTACAGGAACGAAGGAAGGAAGGAAGGAAGAAGGAAGGAAGGAAGGCAGGCAGACATAAAAGCAAAAGTTCTATTAGTCAATGTAAGGAGCCAAGATTAGGCTGGGAGACAAACAGGCAAGCTGCCTGCCTCCCATGTCAGGCAGGGGGCGAGGAGGAAAGGGCGGCGGGGGGAGGTAGATGGTCTTTTTATTTAGACAGAAAAAGGGAATTGGTTTGATGCTTGTATTTTGACGATAATTACTGACCCTCTGGTTACTGCCTAGCTACACCAATCCTTGTTGTGTAAACCTGCCTAAGACATTATTTTTGGCAGGGTGGAAGGAATTAGGCATGGCTAAGGTTCCCAGGCTTTGGGGACAGGAGAGAAAAAAAAAAAAAGGAAGCCACAATGGATTATCTTGAAAGAGGAACTTTACATGGGCCAGAAGAAAGGACTCTAAAAGTGGCATGAAAAGATGAAGGAAAAACAAGTATTTAGAAGATGATGGATGGGAAGGTAGCCCAGATGAGAATGGTTAAGGTGAATGGCATTGGATGGAGGCTAGGAGATGGATAGTGAGGTTATTGAAATAGCATAGGTGGAATGATTTGTCCAGCCCAAGGTGTTAAAAGGCAATTTAAAAATCTAACAGGAGTCTGTGTCTTACTGATTATGATACTGGGTTAAATAATACTGCCGTAATAATTACAGAGCTAATAATAAACACATTTAGCCCGATACCCCTTATTTACAACAACAAAAGGGTAAGAAGGAAGCAGGTTATAGTGATAATTTTTGAACCGATCATAAATTAATTTTCTTCTTGCATCAGTATGTCTTCAAAGGCAGTAGATAAAACAAAAGACCCCTCAATCTCTTTATCTCCCTTGCTCTAACTAGATGCTGATCTCTCCTGCATATGGATGACTCAATGAGAATGAGTAAGTACTAAGAAGAACAGGTGTTTTATGAAGAAAAAGCATCCTTCTGTGAAGAAGGTCACACACAAGAGAAGACGTCTGAATTAGGATACACAAACGGCTGACACTTCATTGTGTTAAATAAGGATGTGATGAAACAGGTGCACGATTCCTCTGATACTGAGTATCCAAAGTCACCAACTTCTAAACTACAAAATTAAAAAAACCAAAACCACTACTCCTCATTTTAGAGTCTATTCAGATGTCAAAGCAATAATTTATGGCATTGTAGGCAAGGACAAGGCTAATTAATCTACCTATCGTTTCATAAAACTGAAAGTTATTACAAGATAAAAGTTTACAGATTAAAGACTATACTAAAACACTTGAAATTGTTTTTAGTCAATTAAATAGAAATAAACATGCTAAAACTTTCTCCTGATAACAAAAAAGAGGGGTTGAATACATTTTTACTAGCAGAACACACAGGAGTAGTACATATGTATGTATATATGTATGTGTGCATATATATATATATATAAAACATATGTATGTTATATATTATCTATATTTTTTTTAATTTGGAAGTCCTAAAATAATGAGATTTTGGAAGAAAAGGCAAAATGAGCTTGGTGGAGAGCTGAAGATGTCAAGGGCAAACTAGCTCATTGTCTTGCATTTCCCACGGGGGAACTTGCAAGGTCAGTAATAGTCTCTGGCCACAGACTTGCCTTCCAGTTCAGTACCCCAGAATTCTATCAAGCTGTAATGAGGGTAGAAGAACTGGGGTGTGCTCCTGCAGGACATGGTGGCCAGCCTAAAGTCAACAACACGGTGGCTACAGTACTTATGTGCTCAGAGGAAGTAAGGTATCCAAGACAGCAGAGGATCTGTGCCCAGCAAAAGTACTCAATGGAGCACACAGCATTTGGGAAAGGATTCTGCAGGAAGCTGAAGCACATATGAGCAAAGCAGATAAAAAGAAAATGGCCAGTGAAGCCATGATTAGACTTGCTTATAGACACACATCACAATCCTGTGAATCCCCACATACATGTGATTAAAGAGAAGGCTTTGCATCAATGGAGAGAGGAAGAGGAACAGCCAAATGTAGGTATTCATCCTTTTTTCTTGAACTTGAATGATCTGCCAGGAATACCATTACAGAGTAAATAAATGGAATAAATAAAATGACTTCAATAAAGTCCACAATGCTAGCTAGATGGGAAGGGAAGAGACTGGATCAGCACCTCTCTTTAACCTCCAAGATGCCTTGCCATCTCTAAACTGTGCAGGCTTTAAACACTTTTGAAACATCTTGCATCTTACTCAAGAATGCCACCAGTGAAAAAGAATGCTGGTAATTTCCTGGTATGAAAGATCTGCCTGGAGGAAGTAATCAAGACTGAGCTTGTTTCATCCAAATATTGTATTAGCACAGAAATAGCTGTTCTGAAGTAGGAAAGGGAAGAATTTCAGAAGCACCCTAGGTTCTGCACTGGTAAGGGAGCGTGGGCAGGGTTTGAAGGAACATGCAAACAGAGGGTTCCCGGCCTGGGAAACGCTGGTCCACTTAGTGCCCTTGCGCATGTCCCCGGGAGACCCAGGACTACGACAAATGTAGCTGTGCAGAGCAAAAATACAGGACCTTGAAAATGATCACTCAAAGAATAACAGAAAAAAATGAAATGACAACCACGATTTAAATTTTCACTCGTTTTTAAATATCTTTAACTTTATGTTCTGTTTAATTATACAAAAGAGTACATCAGTTTCCGTTGTCTTAGAAGATCATTTGTAACCCAAACATCTAGTCTTTATGACTAGATAAATAGTATGATTTAAATTAAACCTGACTTAAAGGTAAGATGGCATTCTGTATGAGCAAGAATCGGTGAGAGTGCATAGTTTAAGGACAAGCAGGTAAGAAAACCCTTTTACTTCCTATTTAATCCTCAAAAGCTTCTGTTTTAAGACAGGCTTCCCATCACTTTCTTCCTCTTGGTTACATCAGAATTATTTTCTGTAGTAACATGCAGAATAGAAATCATTCCAGTAGCATTCTGCTGATAATGTTCTTTTGGAAAATAAATATATGTTCGAGAAGGAGAGATTACTTAGCACTTAATAAATTGCAAAATACCTGTCTTCTGCCAAAGTAGTTAGTTCTGCAGTCGCCTGTCTTCTGAAGCAGCTATTTTGACTGCTGTGGGGAGGGAGCCTGAGGGGAAATAAAACTCTAATGTAAAACATGATAGCAGCAAAATAATGAAGCAGGGAAAGATAGTGTTAGGACACCGTGGCGCCAGCAAGACATTTAAAATGGATGTAAAGTAGCAAAGCACTGCACAGAGCCCAAGGGAATCTTTTGGGGCATACATGTAGAATATATACTTTCTACTTATTATCATATATTTCCTTGAGGAGTCTAATTGAAAATGTTAAAAAAAAAAAGAAAGATAACTAGATAGTATAAATTCACATTAACTACTGGTTCATTGCACTATTACAATCATAATTATTTTTCAATTACATAAAGTTCAGCATATTACTCTACAATTACTTCTCTAATATCATTAACACAAAGGACCATTAAACACCTGTTGGGTATATCTATGAACACATTTGATCAAAGACATACTGCCATAAATAAAGGGTTTTTTCCACAAAAACTTTCAACACTGAATCAAATAAGCAAAGTTTATACAAAAGGACAGGGAGTTTCAAAAAAACAAGACTGCAAACTTGGGCTACTGCACAGGACTACTAGGAATGACAGCTCATTTGTAGTCACGTAGGCATACTGCGTCTAAATATAACTGACCAAAAGAAGCACTTGTCTCAGATACTTATCTCAACTACCAAGTAGTACATATCTAGCATAGCAGATAAAACAACTGTGGAATACGAAATCTGAAGTGCATGCCACCTTAGCAAAATAAACAGAGCCTTCCAGATGCCCAGTAGATGGCACAGTTTGATAAAGAAATTATTATTGTATTACTATTATTAAATTATTATTTTTTTATTATTCCAACAGGATCTCACTATGCAGCTATGCAATCCTGGTCCTGGAACTCTCTATGCAGACCAGACTGGGCTCAAATTCACAATCTACCTGCTTCTGCCTCCTGAGTGCTGGGATCAAAAGTATACACCACTATAAAAAGAAATGATCATATAGATTATTCAAGAATTAGATTTTGCACGACGGAGACAAAGGTTAAAAATAATGAAGAAACAAAACACAAAGAATTAGAAAAATACAAGCTTATTTCTTTTATTCTTACCCTATTGATTTAGTGAACAGGTAACAAAGAAATCGAGGGCAAATGAAGGATGTCTTTGAATGTCAATTTTCAGAATTTGGACTCATGCTTACTAAACAGTGGCTAAATAGTGGAATAATGAAATGTTTCAAGCTATAATTATTGCTAGATTACCTGAAGAGATGGCAAACAAGAAAAATGGAGGAAGTGCTTCTGCATAAGGGGCCTGTTAGAAAGAAAACTGAGGGAGCAGACAGCAAGCACTTGAGTTGGGGTGGTAGTAGCTGGACTGCAAGAGAGGTGTGAGGAAAGCAAGGGGGGACTCAAGTGAGCTTACAAGAAAGAAAATAGCACATAAGCACGGATAATCATGGAAGTAACAAAATCAGAGTAACTACCAAGATCATTACAGCTTCCACAAAGCTCCACTGAGCAGGCCTGCTCCTCACCCCAAGCTCAGCAAGGCGACCCAAAATGATTCAGCCACTGCAACGACTGGTCCTACCGCTCGGCCCACACACATCAGTTTTCCTAACTCTGACCTCACTACTTGGTGTCTTGTTACCCCTTCAGTTTTCTCATCAGCATGGAACTTAGGATGCTATTCAACTGTTTTTGTTGTTGTTGTTGTTTTTGCCATAGCAAAGGACTCATGCATACTGTTCTTACTTAAACTTGATTCTTAGAAGCCCCTTACCCCGACTAGTTCCCATTGGCTTATCCTATCTCTCAGGTAGGAACTGGACCAAAACATCACAGCAAAGAGTAGTTTAAGCAGAGTAAGATTTTTCAATGCTTTAAACACACACACACAAAACCACAAAACTAGGATTCTGGATACAATGGAAGATTGAGGCAAAGGCAGCCATCTAGGTAAATATGTCTGACCAGCTATAAAAAGTACAGAATTATAAAAACTACTTAAAAATTTTCAAAATGGAAAGTGAAAGTCACTGGTTGAAATTCCAGAAGAAAAACATAGAGATAAATATTTTGCCAATTATCTTACAAAATGATCACAGGAAAAAAAAACCCTAATTTAATTAATAGTGAGTCAGGAATGCTATGGAAGTAAGGCATGCAGGGGGCGTTATATTATGATCAAACTTGTTAGTTTTGAATTTGAATACAGAGATGATCTCAGTATGATTTAATGAGAATTCCTGTTTTATCAAGGACAGAAATTAAGCCTGGTACAAAAAAGTATGGCTCCACTGTTCTGACTTCTGGGCTCTGAGCCAAAAATGCCTTTATTCTAATCCTGCTGTGACAAATTTACCCAAATCATTTAACCTCTCTGCCTCAATTTCCCCACATGCAAAAGCAGGGCTAATGATGTTGACCTACCTTTGCAAGGATGTTGTGAGCATTATTACTATTGATGGTGCTGTAAAGACGAAAAGGGCTGAGCATGTTAAGTGAGTGTTACATAACTAACTGCCTATACCATGAGGGCTTCATCCTTTGATTTTATCCAAGCAGCAGTTATCAAATAAACGAACTAGCTGCCTCACTGACATCTGCCTTCTAACACTTCAAGTTACTACAGTGTATCTAGATACTTCCTTATTGAGTGTTGTCTTACAGCAGACACTAAATGCTGAAGCTCTCACAGACTCCTGTGCTATAAAGCAGACGTTCCCCAACAAGCAGCCCTTTTTAAGGAAGTTACAAAGCTTTGAGGCCCAGCTGGTGAACAGGCCGCGTGAGTAGAACTTTGAAGTCATACCTGCCTCCAATCTTGTCAAGAGCTCTTTACTTCCTAAGCCACCAAAATGTAAAGGAGCTGTACTCTAAGTTCCCAGCAGCATGGACAGGGCTTCCTGGCTACCATGCCTTTCCGGAAACAACAGACTGATACCTCCTGAAGCTGTAAGCCAAACTAAATCCTTTCTCCCTCATACTATTTCTATCTGGTGTTCTGTCAAAGTTACATAAAACTTTTTATGTACCCTATGAAGTTCCAGACCATTCTGGAGAACTAAAACACCTTTTGACTTAAATTTAAGGGCTTATCTGCCCAATAATGAGCTCCTACTCCAAGTATCCCATAAGGGTCAAAAAGTAATAAATACTTGAGGTTGAGGAGGTAGTTCAATCAGTGAGATGTTTACCCTACAAGCTTGAAGATCTGAGTTCAATCCCCAGCACGCATGTAAATATTCTGGCACGTTCACGCATGATTATACTCCAGAACTGGTCTATTACCCAGGTCCAGGTGAGAACTGTCACATAAAACAAGATGGATGGTTCTTTAAGTTGGCTTCTGGACTCGATATGGGTGTACAAAGACACAAAAGCTCCAACATTTTAGCTACAAAACTTTAGAGTTAGCACACACTATTAAGCAGTTGAGTGGCAGAAGCAATATTTAAAAAGTAGAAAGAACTTTGTTAGAAAGCTCCAGCTGTCAACTTGACACAACCAGAGTTATCTGAGAGAGTCTTCTTTGGGGATTGCACCAATCAGATGAGCCTGTATGGGGCTGGAGAGCGGGATTAGTGATCAATTGGCTGCTCTTCCAGGAGACCCAGGTTCAATTCCCAGAACCCACATGGCAGCTCACAACTGTCTACGGCAGTCTCAGGAAATCTGATACCCTCTCTAGCCTCTTCAGACAACAGGGATGCATGTGGGGAAAAAAAAAAAAAAAAAAGATTAGTCTGTAAACACTGTGAACATATCTTGGAGAAAGGAACTGATGTAGAAGGACCCCGCCACTGTGGGCAGAACATTACCCCAGGAAGTAGGTCCTGCCTGCATCAGAAGCTAGCTGAGCAAAAGCTACGGAGTAAGCCAGTAAGAGCATTCTTCCATGGTCTTCGCTTCAGCTTCCGCCTTGAGTCGCTGCCGTGGCTTCCTTCAGCGATGGATGGGAAGGGTAAGAAGAAATAAACCCTTTCCTCCCTCAATTTCCTTTTGGTTGCATTTATCACAGCAGAAGAAAGCAAAGTAAAACAACTACCTAGCCTGTCCCTATTGTAAAACAAATTACACACCCTTCGAGTGTAGAAAAGGTGGGGAGAAACTTCTTACCCCATTAGGCCCTCTCTCTGGTTGTTTGTTTCTTCTGGGTTTCTAAGTTACACCGATAAATTCACTGTGTTTTAAAATCAAACAAAGTACAAGTATTTGATATAAAGATGAAGTCCTTCCCCACTCTGAGGGGAGCCAGTGCATAGAGTGCCATGTGTCTTCTCAGAACTCCTTGGGGTACTGACAACATGTCTAGACTCGTGCCTAACTTGTTTTATCTCTTTGTAAAGACAGGGTTTTCTAATGCATACACGTGGCTGTTTTTACTGAGCAGCTAAGAAAGGATACTCATGCTCCACTGAGTGGGATTAGAACTGACTTAACGATCGCTTACTTACTCCCAGCACCGTGCCTTGCGAATAGTAGTGCCGCGAAAAGACATACTAACACTTTACAAGGTGGCAGCGTCCACGGTGATTGTACCATGGGAGACTGCCCTCGACACAGGACTTCCTCTTTTCCCACATAATTAACACCTTGAAGCGTAGTCAGAGTTTTACACTGCTGCAAATCTGGTAAGGGAGAAATAGATTCTTCTAATTATAGGTTTTACTCTCCTATCCATTAATAAAATCAGGCATCTTTTAACATATTTCAAATAATTCTGTTTTCACAAAAAATTACCTAGTCTTATCTTCTGGCCACCTTTCTTTGTCCCATCCTGTACTGATGTCAGTAACTCATCTTTACATACATTAAAGATACCACTTGGATTTTATCAACCTTATATGTGAAGAAACTGAGAAAATACACACTTTCTCTTTTAAATTAAGACTTGGTCATGACCCAGCTCTCTGAACTCCATTCCAGCTAATGGTCTGTAAACTGCCAAAAAACAAAAACAAAAACAAAAAAAAAACCCAGGGATGGTTCTTCAAGACTGCAACAGCAAGTCAGCTGTTACATCTGGATAAAG